AAGACATTAAAGTTGTCAAATTGTCCATTGTTTTTAACTACCAAATCAAAACTTAAAGCCAATCAAAACATAAACAAGCTACAAAAGGTTTCAAATACACATTTAAATATTATTTATCACGAAGAAAATACATTTAGTTCCAAAAGGCCATACAAAGACTTTGAGACCAATGGTGTGTTTTATCGTAATAAGTTTTTAACTGTCTGTACAAATTGATCTTTTTAGATCTTATAAATTACTTTGAATTCTCATATACGATTTTACTATCATTTTGATAATATGATTATAAACAGCGTAAAAGTTAGATACAGACTGTTAGGCAATATGAAAAATTAATATTAGCAATCAGCATTAAATGATCAGTATTAAATGATCAGTATGAAATGATCAGTACTATGAGTACTGATTGCTACTACTATTTTTTCGTAAGGATACAGATTGTTTCTATGAATGAATTATAGTTTTATGTTATGATTATTTTAATAAAGAATGCATAATTAATTGGAATTGCATTTTTCCGCAATAATAGTATGTACAAATTTAAGAAATATAAGGAATGATTGGGTAATGACTAATGCTGGAAAATAAAAGGATAGAGTTTAAGGAGTTAGACTAATATCTCTGGCAAGATAAATGATTGAGTTAGGATTTCAATTGTATCATAAATACACATAAAACATTATATTTTTTTTTTATTTTGTCAAGCACGGTCAACTCTCTTTCGTTAGTAGTTTAAGTTACAAATAAAATATATTTAAGAAAAATCTGTACATATACAGTTGTGCTTTTAAAAGCCGTATTTCGATTTTGTTTGTTTTCGCGTCATTCTATTTTGGGACCACTGATTTTTGAGTTCCAGTTCCATGGCTTTAGCTTGATGCGCCAAATATGTGATTTGATGCTTCTTTTTGGATTGAGAGTTGACACCACAGCTCTGCATAGAAATTGGCCTTTGTACAGGTTCCTCTGTTAGTGCCTTCACCAGCCATTCTCTTTCATCCGGTTTTATATCCTCCCCGTTGATCTCGATTATGTTTGCTTCGTCGATTTCTCTATCTTTACGTTTCACACCTCGTCTTCCACAGAGATATTCAATAGCTTTTTCGTCGAATGCTACATTACCTTCTGTGTCAACATTATATTCCTGTTCAGGAACAGGTAATTTGGGGCCAATTTCTGCTTTATTTTTCAATATAATTTCTTCTTTAGACAAATTCATAACATTGCTCGTCAATGTTTTATTTGAACTACACGATTGGTCGTTTATTGAAATATTGGAACCAGTAGAGGAAAAGTCGCGCGTTGTATCATTTTCCACATGTTTTGTGAATCTGGTTTCTTCATCATTCAATAATCCCGTTAAAGAATCATCTGTTGTATTCTTGCTTGAAGTTAATCCAAAGAAATCTATCATTCCATCTTCCTCATCGTCCGAATTCATTTCATCATGTGATTTATTCACAGTTATCCTTTCCACTTTCTTATAATCATTTACTCGACTTGTACCAGATTCTTTTAGCGTTTTTGTCTGATGAATACTTGCTCTTGTCATCTTATTCTTCACAGCTTGAGGTATCAGAGTTTTATTACTGTCTGCAGTTTCTTCCTTTGGTGGTACTAATATGGAAAAGAGTCCACAGCCTTTCTAAGAAGATTAAATATTTGTTTAGAATATAACACATAAACAAGCATATGAATCAATTAATTTCTTTAGAAAAAGTTTTTAAAACTTACTTCTAATGATTGTATAATTCTCATTGGCTTCTTCTCACTTTCCTCTTCAATGTCCTTAAACTAACCCAAAATATGCACTTAATATTATAACCATGCACTAAGCATTTTATGAACTCTTGTATCTAATTGGTATATATTTTTCAATCTAAAAGAATAACAATTAGATGCAAGAGCTCATTAAGCGCTCAATGAGCAATTTTAATACTGAAAATATACAGTATATTAAGTATGACATACAAGTACAATATACCAAATTTATATATTCTGGAATAAACGCATATGTAGACTTTACCTCTGATAAGGAAGGCACTGTTATTTTCACTGTCTGCTTCTTGGTTGGCTTTGCACCTTGACAATTCTCCGTTTCCTTCTTAAGTAGAATATCATCATCCTCTTCAACATTTCCTGCTGAATTTAGATCTTTTGGTTTTGGCAGCGTACTGAGGAAGTTCTTAAAATTCACTGTATTCTCTTCCACTTTTTTCTTTTCATCATTTGTACTTTCTAAAATCATTTTTGGAGCTGGTAAGGCCAACTTCGAGTTCGTTTGCACTGTTATAACCTCTATTGCGTTATTGTTAGTATTGTTTGCGACAATTGTTCCCGCAGACTCATGCTCTTCATTTTCGGAGCCTTCGTCACTGCTATCGTACACTACGAGACTCATTTTCAATTTTAAATTTGCGTTTAAATACCCACGTATTTAAAACCTAATTATCAAGGTGCTTTGACAGGTCTTGAATCTTGATTTGCGTCTTCCATAATGAAATGCGGTGAGTTTCGTGTTTTCGCCGCACGAGGTCCCCAAAGTCAAATCCGAATCAAACGTGCCGTTTTTCCATGAGAACTAAAAGTTTATTGGCTATCGCATTTTGTCGCGCGTTTCTATGTTCTGTATGGAGAAGGCATTGGCCTGTATTTTGAACTTACTTTTATCGATAAAAGTGCCTGTAAAAGTGGCTTGGAAGCTACCTGATTGGCTGAGAAGCCATATTCAAGGCACTTTTATCAATAAAAAAGAGAATGTGGGCTATTAACTTTAATGAGCATTTACTTATCTTCATGACTTTGACTTGTTTAGATTGTAATATTTAAATAATATAATTACATATTAATATAATAATTACGATAACACATGTATGTTAGTTTGCAACCGGAAGTTCAGCCGCGTAAGGGAGCGCGGCTGACCGGAAGAAAAGGGATACCGCAGACTAAAACGAACACGAATGCGAGGGGCGGTTGTGATTGGCGGAGGCCGTCGGCGAATCGGGAAGCGTTGCGGAGAGGGAAGAACGTTTGAAATCGGAAGGAAAGGCGCGGAGTAGCATGGAGACGCGGGAAGCGAGAGGACGGACATTTGGAAAAAAAGCAGATAACTACCCAGACGAGGGGACCTTGGAGAAGTTGCTGACGGAGGAGAAAGCTGGCGGAGACGTCCTGGTGCAAATCTCCTTGTGGAGGCCCAGGGAGACGCGGGGAAACGACCGATCGCCTGGCGACTGTAAGTGCGCTGTAAAATTGCCACCGTTCCCCCTCGTAACTTTTCGCAAAAACAGAGACTTCCCGTCTGAGAACCGAGGCATCCGGTGGGAAGCTCGACTCGGAACGCGGCACTGGTGGTCGGAACCGTAAAACTAAGTTTAAAAAAGAGAAAGAATCCCGTCGTCAGCGGGATCAAAGGGCTATCCGGTACGGTAAGCGACGCATCCCGCCATGCGCGCCCGATCGTGTCCCGACATGTTCGCGACGACAGTCTTGCGTCGGGATAGACATATAAAAGTTAAGACATCCCCGAACTACGACGCGTGGGGATAATTGTTTTATTTATTCGGCGTAGCGGTTCGTGTAACAATTACGTCTTACATATATGTATATTTTTACGGCTTAGACCGCGTGAGATCGGAAAATTAGTTATATAAGATTCGTTCATTAAGTTCATTTTACTTTTATAGGATTTATAGATCAGTATTTTTTGTTATTGCTTTATTTTTTTCAAAATAGACTTCATCTTAGTTACTCTCACAAGGTACGTGTCCATTTTTTAGTGTTTCCCTATCCCCATACCCGGTGTCTGAAGCGAGCGTCCGGTGATCCGAACATCTCTTCGGGAACGACAACTCTATCAGGGAAGGAATCCTTCTATACAACCCTTCTATACACCCCTAACAGTAAAGGCGTATCTGGGGAAACTTGGCCGGTCCAGCTTCCCGGGCCTGGAGTTTGGGCGAAGCTCTCAAAATAACGCCCTAGCAACCGTGGACGGGATCCGTGGGGAACTTTCCTCCTCAAGGTTCGGCGGGATTAAACGCTGAACGTTTTCACTAAGCTAGTGACATCCGGTCACACGTTACGACAAAATTATGTGATGTTATTGTTTCGGGAACAGATATTTCTAATTTTAACGTAGCAGGAAAATATTACATATTTCTCGAAGCTAAGTTATATTATTTGTAGATTGTTTTTTGTGCTAAAAGTACGAGTTGACGTAATGAGAAGAGCACCGTGGTTATACGATAATTGATCTCGTCCTCAAAATTTACACAATTGCTAAAAGGCTAATCCTTGACCTCCCTCCTCTGCTCATTTCTACGGCATTTGAATGAATTTTTATCTAGCGATTTTAGATGTCAAGTTAACAGTTGGCAACAGTTTCAAAGAACTCATTTTATTCTTCTATTCTATAATAATAATGTAATCATCTTCGCGAGATATTCTTTAAATTTAGCTACTGTTGTCACAGCAATAATTATATTTCTACTTCAATTGAATTCTTATCAAACATAACTTTGTCACTAGAACACGCCGAAGAAATTCTCTTGCGATACGTCACTTATCGAGATTACTAGCCGGACGCGACTGACAGATCTGATCTAGTTATTTGGCATCAAATTGCAAATTCCGGGCGTGCGCCTTTTCTTTCGCGTTACTTGTCGGCGAAGCTGCGCGTTAAACGGATTCGAGAAACGCGAGAACGGTCTGCCTGAGGATGCCACTGCATCGGTATACACATGCCATCCTGTGCAGGATCCCGCTGTCGCTGCGCACGCGGGGCGAAGTGACGTTGGATGAAGCAAGGACGCAGCACTTGGCCCTGGCACAGCTTCTACGTGAGCTCGACATTGACGTCGTTGAGATGCCGCCGGACGAGAACTCGCCGCTTTGCGTCTTCGTCGAGGACGTCGCTGTTGTCTGCAACGGTATCGCTTTGATTGCTCGGCCGAATGAACCGACACGTCTTAAAGAGGTATGTCTGAAGCTCTAACAGTGCCAGTAATTGGATTTCATATGCCTGCAATATTGAAAAATAAATACTCTGAAAGCTTTCCTCAATCACAGTAACGTTAATCCAATTATAACAACCAGATTGATAACTGTATTCTAGATGAAGCATACAAGAGATAAATCATAAGGCTTTTCTTTCAGCTTGATACTATCAGAGCTGTTCTGAAAAAAGAATTGGAAATACCACTCATTGAAATAAGCGACCAGAATGCTCGCTTGGATGGCGGAGATGTTCTTTTCACCGGTAAGTTGCATTGTACTGAATGTATAAAGATTACATATCTTTCTTTGTGTAACCGTTGAAGTTTCTTAGAATCTTACTTCTCTAAATTCATAAATAAATATTTTGTTGCAGGCAGAGAATTCTTTGTTGGACTGTCTCACTTTACAAATGAGGCGGGAGCACGAGCAGTTGCTGCGGCATTTCCGGAATATCCTTGTGTACCTATCAAGGTTGGTACCTGTACGAATCTTACAAATTGGTGTATTCACATCATCTGACATCTGGGAACTACTAATATTCTGTTCTAGATGTAAAACAATCACAACTTATAACTTATTAAAAGTCATATACCGCATGTGTATCTATGTCTCATTAGATTGTCTTGAACAATTGATGTTAGAGTCATAATGACACGTATTTGGTGTGCCACTTTGTGCATAAAGACAACTATTCTAGATGTGTGTCAAAATTGAGACAAAAGATATTTTATCTCTAAATATTTTCATACCTACATTTTTCACTTGACGTCATCTTACAAGACAGCAAATCGTCACGTTGGAGATTACTCTGTAATGTAATTTATGTATCCATTTCTCTAAAGACATTTTACATCTCGCAGTTACATTTATATGTATACAGCATGTTTTATTATTAGAGTGATCCATTTGGTGTGTCTGTTCACAGCACATTGTATGTCTATAGAATGTATAAATAATGTACGCCTTGGATTTGCTTCGAACCTCAATAGAGAGACTATCATGCTCACTCACCTTACTTTTCTAATGTTCATTTAAGGTGGGTGATGGTGGCGAAGAGGTGATAGTGGAGAGTCTTACCTCAGCCCCTCTTCAGGTTTGGGCGCACTAAACTGACCCTCTTAATATTTCATTGATTAAAGAAAGAAAGGAAGAGAGAATAACTTCACAAATTAGAAGCGCAAACTTGCACGATTTTAAAGGATATTCTGTTTACATATGACAATATGTATTTCGAGATTTTATAAAACGCTTTTTGAGATCAAGACAGGTTACACAAGTTCTAGCTTAGCACCATCATGCACTCTACGACAATACTCCACAACAAATCATTCACTCACTCACTCACTCACTCACTCACTCCACATCACTTACTCACTCACCTTAGCATGTACATGATTTTTTTTTAACTTTAAACAAAAGGGCGTTCCTTAGTTTATTCCAATCATTTCTGTTTAAACATTATGTAACATTATGTAACTAAGTGATATTATATATATATTAGTGTATGCACCTTTTAGACTACACTCGCACTTGTCTGGACGTTACACAGATCAGTATGCACGTTTTGCTGACATATTAAAAATCATCATAAACACCATAATAATGCGTTAATAAGAGAGCAATATTATTTTAAATATATTTCCTGCGCGTGCATAAGAAATATTTTATTATTTTTATATGAAAATAGATCCGTATGATTAAAACAAGAGCTGTTCAATTTAAGAAAGTATTTCCGTCGTTGATGGGATCAAACATAATGAGTTTTTACCTTACAATTTTTAAGCGATATAACATTGCTTCAGAATATAATGTACAAAATATGATAGCAAAATGATTATACGCATTGTTTATTCAGTGCATTGCAGTACTTGTTTAATGATTATATTCTTGTACGTTTAATTTCTCAGATAATAATTCAAATATTTTTCTGTCTAGGTGGCTGAATCCAAACGCTTGAAAGCATTGGTTACGATGGCCGGGCCGGATGTTATATGCGTAGGAGCTGGAAAAGAATCTCAAGAGGTTCTCAAGGTTAGCCTTTATCAATTTCTACATTAATATTACAGTTCATGTCCATGTAACAAGATTACTTACTTTGATTTTGATTCCATCTTAATAACCTTCTTAAAAAAATTAACAACTCAACATTATTGTATAAAGTATGTAATAATTTTTTTCTCTATTTCGAAATGTAGAGGATCGAACGAGAAGCGACATATAATTATCAAACGTTGACCGTGCCCGAAGATGCAGCCGCTAACGTGCTCTACGTGAACGGCACGCTTATTCATCGGTCGGAAAACGAGATTCCGCAGTCGAGTAAGGTGTTCGCCGAGAAGGTGGAGTTCCCTACTAGATCGCTGCGTATGTCCGAATTGGCGAAAGTCAGCTCAGGTTTGTCTTCGTGTTGCTTATTGGTGCGCAGACCGCGGCATATCCGCAGCATTTAAACGGTAGTGAGGAAACGAGATCTATATTTCGCGATTTATCACGCTATTCGCGGAAACGAGACATAAAATCGTAGTCTCTCTTTTTATTTTATCGAATTCATGGAGGAATACAGTGAAGATGCAAAACATGACGACGTGACGTTAACATATGTGTTACCCTGACAATTTGATAAGTATTTTTTTAAGTAATCATTTTGAAGAGTTTTCGTATTATTATTTTGAAAGAGAAAGATATAATATTTGAAGAGATTAATATATATATATATATATGTATATTATGCATATATAATCTTTTTATATATGTTTAGATTAGAAATAATATATATTTTCAGATTTTATATCAGATTTTTATTTATATCTATGCTTTTGCAAAGACGAGCGCTCTACGCTTGCCATTTATTAGAATTCCTCGTTCTTTCATACATGTGACTTTCGTCTCTGGCGGCAGCTGTAAGATCTGTTTGAATTATTTCCTAAGTACCAGGATTTTTCCTCGCATTTTTTTCCTATTGTTTATATATCTACGCAGCTATTCTTTTCTCTTGCGATATTCCAAAAAATATATTATAATGCAAGGCTACATTTACATACCGTAATCTCTTCGACGTGATTGAACTTTACAATTAGGGCACATACCATGATATGGCACAAATTCAATTTTATATAAATATATTCATATATAGATATATACACATATTTAAGGGGTTGGAATATTGATTATTTTGTCAACAATGCAGAACTGAATCAAAATTAACTTGTAATTCAAACTATATAATTAAGAATGCACCGATATCTTTCTACAGTGATAGATCGTTCATAACTTGTAAAATCCTTACGCAATTAGGAAGAGATTATGATGGTAGACTATCAGTATTCCGACTCCTGCAATGCATCTACTGCAACTAGTCTGAAACGTGTTCACGAAAAACATTCAAATAAATATCTATCACCTAATAATGTATCGGAACGTTACTCATATGTAAGAGCACTGATAGTTGTTATTGTGGTGTCACACGTTATAACGAAGTTACGCAATTAAAAGTTTAAGCAGAAATCGAGGAGCGCAAAATTTCTGTACGATAAAAATTTAATACACGTACGAGACGCTGTGTAACACGCTTGGACTGTTCTTGGATCACGATACGATCAAGAGAGTGTATCGTAGTAAAGATTTGAAAGATATATATATATAATATAGAATAGGAGACAAAGAGAGATCTCTCCCTACATTAACGCTAAAAGCGTTGCTATGGCGAATTTTATACAATAACAACGTAGCAATCCCTTAGCTGTAATATTCTCTGTAGTGCTGTTACTTCTGTATGTGTTCTATCTGCATTTTAAGCGTCGACGTTTAGTTTTTATACTATTTTTCACGATGAAACGTGATGACGGATGTGAAGCCGCTTTTGTAACAAACATTATATTAAGATTACAAGATTAATGAGAAAAATGGATGAATCTTTTAATTTTACCGTTAGTTTCAGTGCAATATTTATAGGAAAATATATATTGGACATCGGTCCTTTATATTCAAGGATCGTCGAACTTACATATACAAGAATATATTCACATGGAAATACAGAATTTTTTTAACAAAAGAAAATGCAGAACTTGTTCTTGAGTGTATCAACTTAAGCCGGTATTTATAGTCAAATTTTATATTTAAGGTCGTCTTAAGTTCAGAGTTTTGTAGCCAATGAAATGAGCCGTACAGTATCTGTAAATGAACTTAAAACGGTCTTGAACTTAAGATAAGATCCGACTATGAATACTGGCCATAGAAAAGTATCGCGGTCGATCTTTTGAAATTAATAATAAAATCGTTTCCCTAGAAACTTTTCGGATGCTTCCACATATAAAATATATTTAAGGTGAAACATTTACACGAGGGGAAGATACTGTTGCGCGACGAACGAATAAAATTAATGCTACGGATTGCAGTTGTCACTTAGAGCTCTTATCATCGTTTATTTTAAGTATTCATAAAGTATAATTGCTCTTTTTATATATATCGTAGAGATTCACGTCGAAGTTCCTTCAAAATCGAGTTACATCCTACTTAAATGTTAAAAAAATAATACAGTCTTCTGCTGTAATGTGTCCGAATATTTTCAGATATGAAGATTGCTTATCGTAGGCACACATTCTTCAGCGGCGGTTCACTTCACAAGCTTAGCATTTGCTCGCGCATAATGAAAGGCATATTCGCAACAGCGCATTGAAAAGATATATCACCGGATCTTTCGTTCTGTTTCGTTCTGCGAATAGTCGAGCCAGTTTTCCGCGTATACAGATGATCAGTAGTAGTCTTTTCGATTGTAATACTGCGGCACACTGCGGCACACTGCTTGTTATCGTCAGCCATTCGTATGTATCTTTGCGTGCTTCTCGTTATTTTATTTCTCCGCCCATCCGTTTCTCACGTCATTATGAATAAAACGTTAAAACCGACGTGTGGTTACCCCGGACCAGTAGGAATGGCGGCATATCGCGTGTCAGCGTCTCTAACCAGGCCATGTAAAGGGGCGCTGATACAGCACCTTTCCGTGGCATCGGTAGTGTCCTGTCATAACACCAATAATATTAATTAAGGGAACAATATCCCTGCACGTACACAATAAGTCGTCGTGACATAAGCGGATACTCACATAACGACCAAGTTAGCCTCCATGGAATTCTCCAGCAGCAGCTCTCGCAAGCGGAGGTGTCTGTTAGTTTTCTCCTTCATCGCCATGAGTTCGGAATCTTTAATTTCTACAAGAAAATCACAATTAGCTCACGTGACACTTAGGACGAAGAATGTTTCATCGACAACACGCCTGATGCTCTATTATCACAAATTCACCGGAAGAAAGTTCATACCGTCCTCAGAATTTTTCGAATTCGTCGACTGCTGGAAATCCGCTATCAACGAGTCGAAGAACGTTTTCGTGCTGGCTTGCGCCGGTTTCGAGACATCCGGTATCACCTTCAGGGCGGAATAGTCGATTCGGAATTTCGACAGAAGACTCGCCATGCTATAGAAATTTAAGCGACCGTTAATCATCGAAGACGATACCGCGCTGCTGTCTAAAGATGGAGAAGTTCTCACCGGACCAACTTACTTTCTCTGCTCGTACTCTAATTCAGAATTCTTGTTGGCAAGAGCGAAGACCCTCAATTTGCTGTTCGACCAATTACGCCTGGTGCTGATGATGTAAGGCAACAAGAGCGTCAGGCCGCCGTCGTCGTACAGCCACCATACGTCGATAGTGCCCTTCTTATGCTTTCGTTGGAACTTGGTTACTACGTTGAGTATGTCTTTCGCGATCGGCACTATGTTCGGTCGAGTTTCGCGCTGTTCTTCGGACGACGCATTCGGGTACTCGTTGATCGTCTTCGAACGCCTTGGCGCGGGACTGCCGGGTATTGATATATCCGAAGTGCTGCTAGCTGCAAAGATTATTGCTTATTGTTAGACATCACACTTTTCGTAAAAAGAAAGGAGAGGAGAAAAGCAAGATTAAGACTGATCTCTCGCTGCAGTCATCTTGTTTGGTGACATCAGAAGCGAGAGAATATTTCTCTCATTTTTTATGCACCTTGGCTGAGCTGCGAGAAACTCTGATTGCCCGGTATCGACGTAGGCGCTAATTTCTTCGAGTCCTCGACGTCCCCGACAGCCGTGCTAGAATCCAAGCCGTCCTGAATCCGCAGAAGCGCCACCGCAACGTGCATATCCAGAGCTTTGCTGCAAGACAAGACGAGAAACATTGATGAGAATTTCAGCAATCCCTGCGGGACCGCAAGTTTCCCGTCGACGAAGTTCACTCAAGCATGGTATAAACCGCACGGGAAAAACACGCGGGGCTACTTACTGCATGACGTTAAAGTACATATTCAGGTTCTCCCGAGGACAGGAAGCCCAGTCTTGCTTGTAGCCCATCAGCAGGATGTTGGGTCTCATTTTGCCCAGTCCGGCGGCCTGCAAGAGAGAAGTAGCACCGTCTTGGAAGCTCGCGCCGTCCACCAGCGAGTAGAACGCCTTGACTTTGTTCGCCCTGAACCAGGAGGTGCAGTTCGCCACCATACTACTGCGCGTTTTGTACGATATGGGCGTCTGAAAGGCACGACGCGAGAATTAGAACGTAGATGCTCCGTGAAACTGACGAACTCGCGTTAATGAGAATCGATATGACGATACCTCGATGATGTGGGCGCAAATAAATAAGCTCTGATGTTTGGTGATATGATGAGCGAAGTCAACGAGCGACGATCTCGCGTTGGGCGCGCCGGTGAGCACCAGGAGCTGCGGCTTGTAATTTTTCACGTGCTCCTCCACCCGGTCCAGCTGCTGCACGGCGGTCAACGCGTTATTGTATGTCTGGGCTTGCGTGGTCGACCCCCAATTCACATCTGCGGCATATTTCAAAGAAGAAGAATGAGTTCTCGTCTCTTGTGATGTCGTGAATAAAGTGTGTTCTCGTTGAAATTACCGGGTTTCCTGTATTGTACTATTAAATACAGCGCTAAAACTACGCATAACGTTATCAAAGCCGTCCACCATGAGATCAGGAACATCACAGAAACGCAGAGGATAGCACCGGCGAGACTGAGCCACATGTTGTAATACTGAAACAAAATGATGTAATAGTAGTAAAAATTATTCAACGCGAGAATACATCTCTGGGGACGCGTAATGTACCTTGAAGGTCGGTCTCCATCCGATCGGCTTGGCCAGAGAAGCGTGGAAGGTGCTGAAATTGATGAGAGTGTACGCAGCCAGGAAGAAATTGGAGATGAGCGGTGCAATCGCGTCCAATTCACCTGCGAAGAGGAAGTCATTTTCAGATTTTCACATATTTCCAAAAAGAAGAAGTTTCTCTCTTTCTTTGTTTCGGATTGGTTTGTCACTTACCGATCAGGATGAAAGCGACAGCGATGACGAAAGTGAGGAAATAACCACGAATCGGCTCCTTATCTTTATCGCCGCTAAACCACGCAATTCCCGGATACAGTTTGTCAAGACACAGCGCTTGGAATACCTTCGGCGCCGAGACCAGCGATGCTAAGGCACTTGAGAGCGTTGCGGCGAAGCAACCGGCATAGATGAACGGGCCGAAGCCGGAAACCAATTGGATCACCTACAATACGAATTACAACTTGAATCGTTTACTTTCATTTCGCGTAAAATATTGTATCTTAGTAAATTATAATCGTTAAAACTCCTGGTCTCTCGCTGTAGTAGTATCTTGTTTGATAATGCCGGAAGCAAAAAACGCGTGCCCAAAATATTTGCGAAGCACGTTTAAACCAAAGAGTGTGTCTATAAAATAACACACGTGATCGATTAAATGTATATCTGTAAAATATTCCAAAACTTTCCCTTTTGTTTTAACAATCAATAAATAATCGTAAAATTAACATACAGCCTTCTTAGTCAATCTTTTTTTACGATTCTGTCACGTTAATTTTACGGCTGTTTATTGAGATTGTTGAAGTAAAAGGAAAGTTTTCAGGTTATCTTATAAATATGTTTAATCGATCACAAGTGTCATTCTGCGGACGTATCTTTTTATTTCAACGTATTCCACAAGAATTTTGGGCACATATTTTCTTACTTCTGACGTCATGAGTCGAGATGGCTGTGACGAGGAAACAGGAGCCTTAAGTCAATTGATAACTTTGCTCGACTGGTATCTCAATGAATAATTGTGCAAGCACCTCGGCGCTGTTTTGGCTGCCGTATTTACATCCTGCAGTGCAGTTAAAATCCGTCCCGTATATGCTCCAGGTGCGATTGACGACCTCGTCTGCGGGAACCGTGCTGTTTTCGATCGAGGTATCGTTGTCTGCGTCAAGCAGAGTCGTAAGAGTACTGTTATACATCGTCCACAGATCGGTAATATTGCCGGTTGCGTCTCGCATCACAGTAGCTCCAACCATAAGCGCCATTATCAAGTACGACAGCGACGTCAAGAGTATCGCCAGCAACGTACCCTTCGGTATCGCCGTTTGCGGATCCTGTCAGGATCAAAGTAAAATTCAAAAGCGAAAGCTTTAGCGCTCGTATCACAATTTCCGCAAATGCCTGCGTGTTACGTCGCAATAATGACAGCGAATCTAGAGAGAGACTAGGCGCGTAAATTTCGCTATCGGACATCTGACAGGAAAATTTCTCGCAGGAAGCTTCGATCGAGCATGCAAAGTGGACGAGTAATCAAACGGGCGGTAATTGCGCCCTGCGTGAATCACGCAATGATGCCGCGAGAGAGTTAACGATATTTTAACGTGTGTAAATATCTCCCATAAGACGAAAGGACTAAATCACCTTCAAGTCACCGGATATATTCGCACCTGCCAGGATACCTGTTGCCGCTGGGAAGAAGATGGCCAAGACTGAAAAAAAATTATGTTTCACGTCTTTGCCGTCTTTGTACCTGTAGTCCGGATACAAATTCTCCTTGAATAATGCCCCTGCAAATGGTAAAGCGACACGCAATTAATACACTTGAACATCTCTCACGTTTACCGTGATAATCGCAAGAGGTGTGATACGTGATGCTGATGGCTGAACATCGGTGACACATTACCGTTGTACCCGATGAAACCTTTAGCCCTCTCCACCTCGCTCTTGGGACCGACGAAAGTGCCGATCATGAAGTCGGCAATAGCCACGAGGAGAATTATCAGTAAGCCTATCTGGGCCTTCGCCTCCCACTCCAGGCCCACTATCACGATCAGTAGGAGCACGACGATCGTTATGCAACCTGCAAAGGTCCAAGTGCGATACGTTACTCACGAACTTTTCAGTGGAGCCTGTACAGCTTTATAATTACAATATCTTTATTTAGCAAACTATGATGTTTCTACACAGAAAAAATTCAGTTTTTGCAACTGAACAGAGACCGGATAAAAGCTCGGTGACGAGAAATGATACTTCTGTTGCCACGATCGAGGACATTTGTGTGAATATTCGGCTGTAGTAACAATTTGATTTAATTAAATAAATAATCATTTGATTCGGTTTATAAAAATTCTTTTTTTCCGATTGAGACGACTGAGAGCAAAAGAAGAAATCTCCTATAGGAATCTTTCTGTGTTTATGACTAACTTTTCATCTGGCCCCCGGCAACGAAAAATTTAATCGCACCAATAGAATTGTTTAATTCCTACGTGCGATACTAGAAGAAAATTGAGACGAACGAAGTTCTAAAGTTAGAATGACACGAACCTATGATCCTGATGTCGTTGGTGTGACAGTCGTTTATGCAGATGCTGTAGGACTTGAGACAGTCCACCATGCTTTCGCAAAAGCCGACCACATACATAGAGCAGGCAACGGCATTCGCCAAGGAAAAGATGAGGCCTATGGAGCCACCGAACTCGGGCCCTAATGATCTGGAAATCATGTAATATGTTCCACCTGCGAAAAGAAAGGAACAAGACGATGTAATCGATCACAGTAGCCGCTGCCGATGCATACGATATTGTCGAGACGATTCATGTTATGTGTAAACAATTGTTCGCTCATCAAGATATTAATTAACCCGAGACGCGCGGAGAAATTGATAAGAAGGCGAATCGCTTTTATTTTTCCTCTTTCTCTCCCCCCACCCCCCTCCCTCTCTTTCTTTCTCGCGCTCGTACGTTTTTGGAAATATTCTTGGGCAATGTGGCACGTAACGCGTTCTTTTCATTATTAATAATTTATTCCACGGAATTATTTCACGCTCTGTTTCATACCTCCTTTGATGAGACCGTTCGTGCTGATAGCCGACATCGACAAAGACGTGATCGTCGTGACTACCGTCGTCGTGAGGATCAATAAAATAGCTTGGCCTGCAATGTCGACGTTAATGTCAAGAATTTAATTAAGCCGAGAAAGATGAGACTCGACAACAACGTGGTACTTACCGACTCCGGTCTGCGCTACGACCCAAGAGAGTCGCAAGAAGAGCATCACACCCCAGATGTTGAGGAGGCATCGCATCAGTACCCCTTGGATCCATCCGAACTTCACTCTAGCCGGCGTGGACTTCATGTGTGGGATGGTCAAAGTGTGTGAGCCCGAACCCTGAGGACAAATCGATCGTTAGACAAACCTCAGTAATCAGAGAATAATTTTGCTCGTTGCATAAACAACGTATATCTCACAGTTTTTTCCCTCGTAAAAGAGAAATCATTTGCAAGCAGGAGAAGCGAAGACAGAGAAATAAAGAGAGAGAGAGAGAGAGAGAGAGAGAGAGAGAGAGAGAGAGAGAGAGAGAGAGAGAGATTATCACTGTTAATATTATTATTTACCTTATTTCTTCGTTTATTATTATCACAATTATTAACTTTGAATGATTGAATGTAAAAACAATTAACACATTCTCTAAATTTCTGGGAGTGACCTCACTCCAGGCGAGCACAGTAAATTACTAGCTACAAATATAATGAAAATTGAGAATGCTGAAGAGAGCTGACAAGTAGCCGAAACGTTTAATTGTTAGGCGTGTGTGACGAGATAGTCACTCTAAAATAAATAAACTTTGCTATAAAATCAGCAGTGCGGCTGTTATAAACCAGACGCATCTATGATTGTACTATTAATAAAGAGGGAGAAGTCTACCGGATGAATTCGTATCTATAGGAAGTCTCGAGATTCAGAGGGACTTTCCCGAGGTGCGTTGCGACACGAGAGGCCGCGACGTGAGATGCGGCTATTTCTCCATGCACATCGCGTATCACGTAATCGTCCGCATAAAGGATCCGGACGCGGCTTGCGCGTAATTATGCGAGGAATTATGCCAGCGCGCCGGGATGATGATGTCTTCATCAATCCGATGAGTAATTGACGTGGTGACGCGACAGGCTTCAAGGTCGGGACTTTAAACGAATCCGAACGATTTCTTCCAGATGGCCAGACGCGTTTATCAGATGAATGCGTTGGCAAAAGAGAGAGAGAGAGAGCACGATGTGAAGGCTTTCACGATGTTTTCATGGATACAGGCCGATCATCGAGAGAAATCGCGCGAGCAAGCGGGCCCCCTTGAACGTCTCTAAATCGGAATTTAGATTATCGAAGGAGGCATTGAAGGTGATTCTGGTCTGCAGGAAGGGTCGCCAATCGGCCAATGAAGACTAACGATTTACGTAACCGACGCCTCACGCGCCGCGCGCCGCTCGGTGTTGAGGAACTCTTGGCGAATAATTGCACGTGCGAGAGACGACCTCGCGAGCATGCGAGGTCGCTCACTCGAAAGCTGGAAGTGCGCTCGCGACATCGTTTTCTGAAGGAAACCGCGGATTTACCGGCCACGGTTCGGGAGATATCGACGTATCGGCGATTAATTACTTCCGCGTAGGATGAAACGACCGCGGAAGCTTTAGAGGAAATGGATGAGTAATCGATTAATTGGATCGAACCTCTTAAAATGTCGGCGCTAACCGGGCTGAAGTAAACACACCGAGAGGAATATTTTTGGGATCTATAATCGCGTAAGTGAGAGAGAGAGAGAGAAGGAGAAAATTATTTAAATTAAAAATTCAATTGTACCAACAGAATTATTTTTTTCCGAGCAGAAGAGGATATAGCTGAGGTCGGATATGACTGCAATGTTAGTGGAATCTTTCTGAGTGCACGATGACGTTCTTGAAGAATCAATTTTGCATAATAACTCACTTCGATCGGCCGGCTAATTAATAACAGGAATCAAACACGATCAATTGCCTCCAGTTGGCTTTTGATTGTCACTTGGAAAACGTTTCGACGTATTCCGATTCTCCGCATTCACGTCTACCTTTATGAGCCATCTTCTCGGACGGACGATTATCTCATCCCATTATTTCCCGTTACTTCCGCCAATATCTTGCCTCGGACTCCGGATTGCGCACGAGGCCACGCGGTTCAAAGCTGGAAACGTGTTCGTGACACGCACCTTGTCAGTCAAAAGCACGAAGTTTTTGACAGCAGAAATCGTACAAGTAAGCATAATTGCGATGGCCAAACAAGTACGACACCGAATATACGATTTTCAGCCTTATGCTCACGGAAGAAAAGTCTCAGTTGCTGCAACTGAACCAGATAAAAATTCAATGATATTAAAAGAAAATTCGGTGACGAGAAATAATACCTCTGTTATCGCGACTGAGTAGTTTGATTCAATAAGTAGGATTATTTGATTTCTTAAACAATAAATATCTTTACGTCAAATAACATAACATATTCTCTTGTATTTTCATTCAAACATTAAAATGTTTGCGAATGTATATATATATATATTCCTCTAAATAATGTTTTTTTTTATCAAGCAACATAGTTTATTCTAGTAAAATAACTATATTTTCATTGAAACAAACTTATATATTTGATATTAAATTATAATGTTTATATTAAATATACTCAAGTTTCTCAAATAAACACATACTAAATCGAAAGAAGTCTTTTTCTCTTTCTCTTTCTCGGTGTACAACCGAATTTTCGTCCAGTCTTTAGGAAAAATTAAGTCACACCTAAAGGAGTGTTTTGTCCGAGCTTTGTGAGCGTAAAGTCGAAAATCGTTCACTCTCAGTCTAAGAAATGGCCAGGCATTTGTGACTCTGTACACGCGAATTGCGAGCGACAGTCACGCACTTAACGCACACACGTACGGAGCGTAAGTGGGTTACGATGGTGTGCGACACCGAGGAGAATAGTAAAGGTGTTCCGTCTCTATCTCTCTTTCAATAGAGGTGAGTCTTCTCTCACGCATTATCTCGTGTGCGTATCTTTTATACGCACGACACGGTCAAATAATCTATGCGACACACGCTTAACCGTGTTGTCGTCCGCTTCGCGATGCGATTTGGAGCACGCGTTTTGTTGGACCCATTGACACCGTCGCGAGATGTAAGCTAGCTATGTATCTATCGAGATGCGAACGTGAACTCGCGATTGAATCGGTCTGATATTTTAAGCTCTCGCGATGGATAAATACTTAATTTGACTGCCAAATTAGCGCCGCGTCCTTCATGGATCTTTCTAACACAGATAGAAATCATCAACCTTCCAATTATCATTGAACGATAAGTTATAAAAGGAGGAATTGGTGCTGGTAACTTCTGTAATTACACATTATTAACTTAATTGGAGTTTGGCGAAAGTCATGCTAAATTAGGTTCGTGTGTGACCAGCAACGCGCATGTCCGGCTCGCGAAAGCGCAACGTCTGGGAGTCGCAACTTCAACGCGAGCAGTTCACAGGAAGAAGAAAAAGCGGAAGAGAGAGAGAGAGAGGACGAAAAAATTTCCACGTCGTCGCTGGCTTTTTTGAAATGTGCCATTCGCCGGCATCACCGCGTCGTCACGCGCACGAATTGTGGTCGTCGCAACCTTCCGCTGTTTGCACATTAGCCGACGTAATTATACCGCGCGCACCCGGAAATCCTTTATAATGACGAGTGTCACGGGATTCGATTAAGGAACCGTATTTTTCGCGGCGCGGCACTCGCAAAGCCAACATACAATGTTTAACATCGTTGAGCGTCTGTATTAGAAATCAGTCTGACGTGTCAACGATAGTAAGCCGATTATTTGCATAGAGACAAAGCCGTTTCGCGGTGTTCCGCCTCTGCCCGGCTTTTGCCGAACGGCGGAACTGCCGTTTGCCGGCGCGCTCGGAGTTAATATGTTGGTACACGCGATCCGCCGACGAGCTTTTCTTATTCGGCGCGATACGAAACGGGAGGGAATTGCGAGCGAAAATTTTGCTTATCATTATTTGCACCCGAGTCCCATTCACATTCAGCTTTAATTAACGTCAGATTCTTATCACGCAGGACACACGCGGTGACGCACGTCCGAGAACGCGCTCGCGTGGTGCGTCTCGTTCCTCCTGAAAAAAATAAAAGCGAGAAACAAAAACGGAAATCTATCAGAGAATTTTTGCAAACGAAGATGAGCGGGGGATTAAATCATGATGTATCGCTAGTTTCAGGCAGAGCGCGACTCTGAAAGAAATCCCACTAAAATTATAATCATTTTCGGGCTCAATTATATCTTCTGATTTTATTATCAGTAATTATAAGTGTTATCATCACACTAACTATTTTTAGTTTACATGAAACGCTAATCCGATTTAGTAACAACTATACGCGGAAAAAATTTATTATCACTTCGAGACTCGTATTCTCGTATATAAGCAGGAATATATTATCTTGTATAAAACTTGCTTACATGAAGAAATTCTATATAATTTCACTAAAAATATCGTATACTTGTTATTTAAGAATAATTTTTATGAACTGAGAGGAAATAAATATTAGATAGTAAAAACGAAGAAAAGGAATATCTTCAAACTGATACAATTCTTAGTTTGAAATGATGCTAAACTCCTATAAAAGTTAAAATTACATGGAAACAAAATTAGTATCAATTTAAGACTCATTCTCATATATAAGCAAGAATATATAATATTTTTACGATTTTACAGAAATCGATTTATAGTGGGGATTGGTTAAAATTGCTTCGGGTGAACAGAAACGAATCACAGGAACTGTAACTACGATTTGTATTAAATCGGATTATCGTTGCCGTGTAAAACGTAGTCAAAAACACTACAGTATGGCTTATTAAAAAAATAATTCTCCCGATTATAATTTTTTCATTTATGTGATTCTAATTATAAATACCAAAAATTTGATTCTTAGTGTAACGACACTCAACGACATACTTAGCGCGACTAATTGCCTTTTTTTCTCTCTCTTTCTCCGCACGATCCAGAATGTGTCGTAAGAAAACGCTAATTACAGCCGATTAACAACGTCAAACCTACTTAACTGACCTGAAAAACCGCGACGCTTCTGCGTCGCGTTAATTACAATTAACAGCTCAGTTACGACTAGGAATGCGAGGGCTTGTTTAATTATCGTTCGGCTGGTGTAACACGTGACGGGCGTCCGTTTCATCCTGCCAAGTGCAGAATTCGCGGATTTAGATTCCCCGCACGGGGGGAATTGATTCCTCATGTGGAAATTACGCCGTGTTAGCGACACGTGCGCGAAGCAGCGCGAGTAAACAGGAGGAGAGGTCGTCTCGGGGTATTCGTCATCGTTT